CATTTCAAGTTTTTTATTTTTCAAATATTTTAATCTTAGAAAGCTCATAATCATACATCTCCCTCCTGGCTACCCTTCAAATCAAAATACCCAAACAAGAGAGGCTCAGTAATGAAGACCATTTTTAATAAAAAATACTTGTTAACTTTTGGAGGGCATGTTTGATTACTCAGAGTTTTCTGATGCCCTGCAACTATTTAAGTTATGAAGGAACTTCATAACTTAGACCATGCAACAAAAAATAAAAGTGTTGTTTAGCTTTATCTTTTTATAAAATTCAGTAACATAGAAGAATTTTAATTGCTTATATACTGTTCATACAACCCTAAACATGTTCTGAGGAATAAACACTACACAGTTTATTCAATAATCATTTGAATAAAAAAATTATAAATTCCACAAAGTTTTTGACGGTCAACTTCTCTCTCTATTAATGTTTGCCTCTAATGATGTCATGTTGTGGCAAAATGCTCTAATTTCTTCATATTTGGGCGATAAGTAGAGAAACCATTAAGCTGACATTTAGAGCCTGCTGGAAATTAATAAATTATTTAAGTGCCTATACTGAAGGAAAGAAGAAGTGGAAACTTCTCAAGGTAGAAGTTGTCATTTTTGCAGACCTGAAATGTAAACAAACAAACAAACAAAAAAACCAAGAAAACAAAAAAGTCGATAAACACTCAACATTATTGATATGCTGCTTATTTTTTATTCAAAAGTAAGGAGCAAATTATCACAAAAGAGAAGACATCACATTGCACAGTATTATTATGTCTGAGAAAGGATTAATGGTACCTGGAAAATAGTGGAAGCATTTTGGGGTTTCTTCCTATATGTAGCAAACCATTTTGTCTTGTCCCTCTCTCTTCCACTCCTCTTTCCTCCACTGATTTTCTAACAACCAATATATGCAGTGGAGAAAGGTAAAATCTATGGAGAGGTAAAGAAAAGTTTCCTTTCTTTTGTTTTCCTCAAGCCACTAAAATAAACATGTAATCCTGCTGCTGAAAAAAAAAATCCTCAGCCTAAATAATAAACTCAATATCTCATCTCCATTGAGTGGAAAATTTCACAATAATGAATAATTTCTTGAGCTTGCAGAACTGCTATACTTTATTGAGAACACTCTTATGTATGTATCTATTAGATCCTCCAAAAAATCATGTGAGTTGGGCAATGGATATTCATTTCTTCCATTTTTAGCCATAAGGATCTCAAAAGTGCTAAATGATTTGCCCAGCATTAATCAGGGTCAGCTCTTAGACCCACCATTTAGGTTCTATTTCCCTTCTACTATCCATATTGCTTCATTAAGCTTCATCACTGAGAAATTTCACTCGCGTGCACGTGCGCACTCACACACACACACACACACACACATAGCGATGAATGAAAAAAGTATTCATGATTTTCATTGTAGATATCAAGACCATATTTAATTGATGAAATATCTTTTATCTAGATACATTGAGTACTACTGATTTAAAGGAAGTGATATACAAAGTAAATAAATCCATAAGACAAAATTAATATTAAATCATCTTTGAAACTTCATTTCTAACAGAAAAAATATGAAATTTTAAAAATGAAATGCATTTATCCATTCAATTATTGGCCCCAATATAGTTTTGAGTGTGTGCAGTGTGCTAGGCAACACACACACTGGGTTTTATGGACATAACAAACCTGTGCCTTTGTGATGCCCATCTGGCAGATGCGACACACATATGACCCAGAGTTATCAAATGCCTAAATGGCTACAGAAATGGAAGTCAGCCTAATCAGGGTCTCAGTTAAGGAGAGCTTTCTTCAAGAAAATTAAAGTGAAATGTGAAAGTAAATAAATATACTGTGTCTAAGCAAAAAAGAAAGTAGAAGAGAGAAGGGAGCACAATGAAAAAGCATTTCAAGAAGAGAATAACATGGAATTTAGTGGGAACAGATGGGACCAATCAGAAACACAGCTGAGGGTAAGAAAAAGAGGATGAAAGACTAGGGATTCAAATATTTGTTAAAATTGGTTAAGTAAGGAGAAACAACTTGAAAGATTTTATAGCTTTACCATGTATTTTATTTTTTCCTTAATTCTTTCTCTTTTACTGGGGCTCAAGATGGCATTGAGTATATTGCTTTTATTTACTGACATGTTGTATTCACATTGAACACAAAAACTGAACATTCTTAGACACATTCTCCTTACTATATACCTGAGTTGTTTCACTGAATCCTCAAAATAACTTTTGCCAATTGAATCATTGTCTGCTTCTTGCTGAAACTTAGAAATTATTCTTCCTCAAGCATCCAGGATGGCAGATCCAGAATTAGAATCCAGTATCTCTTGTCCATTACACTTTCCACAGCACCACACATGGCCCTGTTAGCTGAAAAATCCTATTCATCTATAAAAGTCTTGGTAAGATTTTGTTGTCATTGAATAAGAACTGACTTCATAAAACCTACATTTCACTAATAAAGAGCTAAGTAACATCATGAGTAGGTTTTTCTTTTTCTTATGAATTCTTGTTTGCTTTGGGGAAAAAAATCTGTAATGTTCTACAGAATGAAATGAAGTGCTCTGATTTGGACTCCATTTCTCTGATGTCTTCTATGTCTATTCAGATGCTCTTGTGCTCTTTCTCCCTCAAGGCCATGGGCACTGTGTGCAAAGGCACAATCAGAAAATTAGATGTAACTATTTTATTCAAAACTTGTTAGTTAGGATGGTTCTCTTTTCACATATTCACCAAAAAGTTTTTCGGTATGCTGTCATAGTTTGAGGCATGACTATGTGTGAGTCCAAAGACTGTCACTGTTAACATCCAAAGTTATGTTCCATCATAGTAATCTAAAAGCATTCAAGAGAGAATGAAAGAGAAAGACTTTTAAAAGTAAATGTTACAAAACTGCTCTGCTGAAAGCAAAAGCATCTCTAGGGTAAAGCTTGCTTGAATAAATCCAGTTATGCTTCTGGTTTCTAGTCTATGCTTTGTATTAAAAGAGGCCTCAGTGACCTGAAAGACTAATTGCTCTTCCCAAAATGGCTGTTTCTAATAGCAGAGAAAGGGAGTAGTTGGCAACCATCCTCTCAATCAAATCCCATGAATAACCTGGCCCATTTCTTCTGTGCCATGATGCAGAAGTTAGTGGTCACCTGGGAAAAAGAAAAGTAATGCACTGAAAACTTAAAAGGTAGCAGGTCAGGTTAATACAAAATGGAAAAAACAAATCCTGAGACAGTGTTAGAAAGGAAAGTCAAGCATTTGGCAGTATCCTTTCGGCTACTATAGATGCATAGCAACCTCCAAATCTGGAAATGATTTCATTCATCCTTTCCAGAAAAGTGGGTGGGGGTGGTGAGAAATATCTCACATTCCAGAATTCTGAAGGACATTAGGTTGTAATATATAGAGCAGATTAAATGAAATGAGATTTCACAGGAAGTAGTAGAAAAAGGAATACCACAAAGTAAAAAGGGACAGATGAAGAAGCAAGCAGTATAGGAAAGTCAAGAAGAATGTTGTTAAAAGGGCTATAGAGACAGTGGTCTGTTTCCAAAGGAGCAAGTGTCTCAGGCAGAGTGGATCTGGCGGGTGCAATCAGGCAACCTTAAAGCAAGTGGGCTCCAAACAGGGTTTAGACCCCTGCTTGGCAATGGAGAGATGAGAGCCCAGAACAAAGGAGAGCTTTCTGTCAGAGTTCCTCAGTGAAACACCAGCATCAGTCACCTTGGGGAAGGGGACACAGAAGAGAGTTCTGATAAAAAGCATAGATGCTTAAAACCCAATTCAGACAATCAGAATGGGGGGGGGGGGGTTAATGACTAACCTGGCAATTTTGACAAACACCCTAGGTGAGTCTTATGTATAATTAATACAATAAAACTACATTTTTTCACCGTTCTTCTCAAACTGCCCCAGGCTATCTCTTGGTCACAACTCCTAAAATATAGATGTCTGCATTAAAGATAACAGATCCCCTAGTCACAGAAATCTTGCATGTAATTCATGACATGGATTCACATCAAGCTTTTTCCATGTGATGTCCCTGCAGGTCAGGGACATGATATTCCTGATGAAGAACAGTTTTTGAGGTCGTTGTGTCAGGTTGGGGTGGTAAGGGTGCAGACTTTGAGAATGGGAACCAACTACACCTTCATCAGAGTAACTTTCAGAGCCAAGGTTGGAGAACAAAAAGGACTATTTGGGAAAGAATAGAGGGAGAAAGACTTTGTCAGATGACACTCATCAAGGTCAAAACTGGAGATCTCTATCTTAGGTGCCATAGGGATGCATTTCACTCTTACACGTGGAATTCAAGTTTTAAGCTTAAAAAGAATGTGAGAATTTATGTGAAGTAGAGAATTTCTAATTAATTATTTTCCAGCAAATAAGCCAACCTAAATAAAACCAAGTTCAAATTCTGAAGTTCAGATAGAAATACCTAGTTATAAATATAAAACTGCATTATAAAATTTGAATTTGAACCATACTACTTCCTGGTAAACCCTGATTCTCTCACTACCCTTCTCCCCTCTTGAGACTGTGAGTTTAGATTGTAGTTATAATGTTCCCTCCATCTAACTCTAGGAAAACCTTACCCTGTACCAGGCACTCCTGAACACAACCACAATACTACAAACCCTGGTTTCTGGATTTGCAACATAAACAACTATTGTACTCAAGGGTGGGCAGAGAATCCTGAAAAATGCTCCTGTAGCTTTCTATCCCATCTGACACATGTTCATGGTAGTGATACAGCTAAAATAAAGCAGATAAAATACGGATATTTATACGGATAAAATAAAGCAGCCTTTAGCCCAGAAGAAAACCAAGGACACGTCTAAAGGCCTCTTTCCATGATGTCCTTTTGATGTGTGATTTCTTGAAAGAATATGAAAAGCCCTTCCTTCTCAGTCCCCACAATCACCCACCATTGGGGAAGCCACCTGGAAGACCCCTTCAGACCTCGCTGAGTCATCTCTCTTCTCTTTCTCTCAACAGCTCTAATGGAAAATCTGTCACGTGGGCCCAGAACGAGAAGAGTAGGGGACAGCACCTATGGCAGCGGCTGTCGGTCCACATCAACAAGAAAGAGAACCCCAACCAAACGGCCGTCATCAAGCCCTTCCCCAAGAGCACGGAGAGCCGCGGGCTGGGCACCGGCGCGGGCAGCGCGGGCCCAGGGGCGTCTGGGGGCGTGGGAGGCGCGAGCTGTGCTAGCGCTAGCCCAGCAGGGGCTGAGCCCCCAGACGCGGGTGCCAAGGCGCTGTACGACGTGGCGGAGGCGGAAGAGCAGTTTCCTGCGCCCGCGCGGCCGCGCTCGCCGTCGCCCATCAGCACGCTGAGCCACCGCGCGGGCTCGGCCAGCCGCACGGAAGACGACGTGCCCTCGCTGCATTCGGAGCCCGCAGCCCGCAGCAGCTCCTCGCAGGGCTCGCTCATGGAGCAGATCAGCAGCGTGGTGACTCGCTTCACCGCCAATATCAGTGAGCTCAATTCCATGATGCTGTCCACAGCTGCTCCTGGCCCCGGAGTGGGCGCTCCTCTCTGCTCGTCCTACCTGATCCCCAAAGAGATCCAACTGCCCACGACCATGACCACGTTCGCCGAAATCCAGCCTCTGCCAGCTATAGAGGTCACTGGTGGCACACAGGCCGCAGCCGGAGCCTCACAGGCAGGGGGCGCTACTCCGGAGACCCCAGCGGCCGGTCCCGAGGCGGCGGCCGGCAAGCCAGACCTGGAGGAGCTGGTGGCTCTCACCCCGCCGTCCCCTTTCAGAGACTCAGTGGACTCGGGGAGTACGACCCCCAACTCGCCAGTGTCCGAATCGGCCCTCTGTATACCATCGTCTCCCAAATATGACACTCTTATCATAAGAGATTACACTCAGAGTTCCTCGTCGTTGTGAACGTCACTGGAAACCATGCTGGGATCCGCATGCAGAGCAGAGATCTCCGTGTTCACACGGAGGGACGCATTGACACGCGTTCTCATCCGGTTAGGACCTGAGGTAGAAGATGCCAGTTTCAGCCTTGATGGAAACACGAGATTATAGTGCTATTTCACAACAACAACCGACGAAGACACCAACTACAATTTTTTTTGGCAGATTTTCTTCTAGTGGCCTTAGAAAACATGGGCTTTTAAGAAACATTGCTTATATTTTTGAGGGCTGACAAGGAGTCTGTTAAAACAGTTACATACCAAGTGCTTTGCTCTAGGGAAAGCAGAGAGAGTGAAAAAGCATAATGGAAGGTGAAAGAGTAGTTAATAAGCAACTGTAAAAAGTTTTATTTGTTTACTTTAATTCTTTTCCCAGAAGAGTCTTTGATTCACCAAACATGAATGTACATTTTCTAACAAACTCTTACATCTGGGACCAAAATGTCAACCTTTCTGGTTACTTTTTTATTTATTTATTTTTTTCCTTCCTTTAAAGACCTTGGAAAGCAGTACCTTGGGCCCAGTACTTAGAGGTGGGAGTTGTTGTGAGTATGTCCCATGCATAACACACAACTGGATAGTGAGTGCTGCGCTAATGCACCTAGAGCTTCTACCTGAGACTTTCCTCTCCAATTTGGTTGTGAAATACTCTTCCAAAAGCCTGCATCTGGAATTCCACCTAGTTATTTCAGATTCACCTCCATTAACCAAGAAAAACCAGTGGAAGATTTCTTGACTATTTCACCATGTTGCCAATCAATACTGGAGTAGCAAAAAAATAATAATAATATTTTCTGGAATACCATTTTGTAATTCCCTCATTGGGGTGCATTGTGTAGCTGGAATTTCTCTTTATAATAATAATAATTCTTGAGCTCCAGCCTGGCAATCTGTTTCATGATACACAGCCACTCCTTATGAATGCTGTTCCGTTAGTGTTGCCAGCTAAAATATTAAAATATGCATTTGGGCTTCTTCATTCCTTTCTTTTGAGAACCTGATGCACAAGAGCTCCTCTGTTCTTTTTGAGTCCCACCACTGGAAGAGTGGTCCGTAGACCTAACGAAGACGTTGTCACTATTGGAGGGACTATTGTTGAAAAAATTAATACAATATTAATACACTGAAAATTTTAAACTGTGTCAAGTAGGCTTAGCAAAGATTTTGCTATGCCAATGAGCAGTGATTTTATCTTTTCCTGGCTGCTTACACAGGGCAGCTATGAACTATGACAAACGTAGATTTTTCAAAGCAATACAGAATACTGAAACAGAGGAACCTTAATGAATATTAACAAGTCTTTCTTAGCCATTCCAAAAAAAAAAAAAAGAAAGAAAAAGAAAAAAAGACAAAGCAACTATTAATATTTTCATTTTAAAAATAAGTATTAATATGATTTTGTGCACTTCATACTGTCACTTTTTAAATACTGCAGAAAAGAGTTTTAGAGTTATAATAAAAATATGTGCTTTGATAGGATCATATAAGGTAGAAATCATAGCTCAAGACCTGAATTCACTGTCATCTCTTTATTCATCCCACTGCAGCTATCCTCAGGTACCAAATGTTTTTGATTTCTAAATAAAGATAGTAATAAAAGGAGGAGGTGTCCTATAAATTTAAAGTTCAGTTGACCCAGCCTTATACTAAAGATAGCCTTATGAAAAAGATTTGCTGTGAGGCAGAAGTCTATTTTTGGCAGAGAGAAAAATAAATAGAATTTTTCCTTTTAGCTAAATATCCTTATTTTAAATCTCTCATCTACTTAAAAAAATTGAGAAATTGAAGACTATTCATTGGCATAACTTACTATCTCCTCTTTAAAAAGTTACAATGAATATACTGCTTGTGGATTTTCCTTTTCTGATATGTTCTTACTTGAAATTTGAAGTCAGTTCTCCCAATATAAAACATTTAAAGCTAATGTTAATTTTCTAAAATATTCTTAACAGTAATCAAACCTCCTATGCCAGATTTGAAAATAACATCATCAGAGCACCCTGATCCCAAATATGAGTGAGACTCTTGAAACAGAAATGAAATCCTATTTCATTCATGAAGCTAATTTTCCTAATTTCATTGAAAGAAAATGTCTGCCTCCACCAGAAAAACTAATGTAAATATTTGGAAATATTAACACTCCTGGATCCCCATCAGAAAGGTGACACTCATCTGGGGATTACTGTCTTGATTTCCTAGGTATATTTCTAAATATGCTCTATTCTCTAAGCTTTACAATTTGTGTCATTAAATTCTTACATTGATTTCTATTTTATTCTCAAGTACAATAAGTTTCACTCTACTGACAAAAAAAAAAAAAAAAAAACATTTTAAAAACTTTCTCCATAACTAAATTCTTTGTTTTTATTTATCAGTAACGTTTCCTTAAAAAGTACATCACCTTCAGAAACTTCATTAGAAATTAAAATTTAATGCAAATAAATTTTCACCTGATTATTTCACATGTCATTATCAACTATCATAATAAAAAAATAGAGAACAAGATGTATTTTTCTCTATATTTCTATGACCTTTGACACATCATTAAATACATTGTATATTGGACATAAAATTATTAGTGATACATTCTTGAGATGTTTTATTTTGGAATGATGCTAATTGTCTCTTTGCCAATTCTAATACCAGGTTCCAAGTAATAACTCTACAATACAAAGAGAACTGACATGTACTCCAGGGCTAGATACGGGGTACCTATTTTTATTTCCTTGGAAACAATCTGTTACTGGTGCCCAGTGATAATTCGGTAGGGATCTGTATGTCTAAAAGGAAAGGGAAAGTACAGAAAAATACTAAGGATCAGCAAAGTGACACTACAAGAGAGTCTGGTCCTGGAAAGAAAAAGAGAAGACCTGGGTTGATCAAGTTGTACTGATTAAGCAATCCCCTCGTCTTCTGTGGGAGAAGAGTGGGGGCAGCCTGAGAAGACCATATCTGGATTGGGGGAAAAAGTTATTTTTAGGCTAGGAGTGGAAAACAGAAAGGGAGTATGGAAAGGAAAATCATCAGAAATTTGAAGCAAGAGAAAAAAGCAAATCCCCAAATGTGCTAATCCTTGAAAGTAATAGTCTTTTCCAAACTATTGATATTACCAGCAAGTGATCAGGAAGACTGGGAGTTATTTCTGACTGTAACTGAATTGTATAATGGCTTTTTTGCAGTTCTGTGACTTCCAAACCAGGAATTAAACAATTTTTTTAAATAAAAACAAACAAACAAACAAAAAAAGAAGAAAAAAAGAAAGAAAAAAAAAACTTTTCCTATACTAGTCTCCCAGCAAAATGTACATGTTTTGGAGACTTCAAAGGTATTATATGAGTTCACATTTAGCAACAGCTTATTAATAACCCTCAAGCTGTCAGAATCTCTATAGTTACCATTGACAATTTTATACTGTGAAAAAATATACAGATCAGTGAATGTGTAAAGATAAATTAGAATTTGCTTTGAAAAAGTTTGAGGCCTGGAAGATTCTCTATTGTCTATTGAAAAATGAGGCATGTATAAAATAGTTGGTTGAATTTCACTGATCTTCCCAATGTGAACAAATATACTATGTATATTGTGTGTATTTCTAGAATTCAATGGCAGCTGCTGGTGGTGTTGTAATTAGAAATCTATATAGAATATAGATGTTTTAGAGAGATGGTGCCAATCCTAAAAGATTTGTGTGGGCTACAAGTGCTTGTACCTACTTTTTCTGCACTTACAACTGATTTGGTTTTAAAATTGTGTGCGCGTATCTGTTTTTTCTGTTGTTGCAGCTTATACTATTAAAATGATAGAGAATGTTAAATTATTTTGATGTGAATTGCAAATGATTTTTTTCATAAAGTTTAACATTTTTATCAGCAGTTTTGCTTTGTACTTGTATAAATGTGTTTTATTTTAGCATTTTAAAATACACTTGCCTGTTTCTCAGTTGTCTATAGTTGGTGTTTGTGAAGTCAGTTATGTTTTGAAAAATATTAAAAAAGAAACTATGGTATGACTTAAGATTATTACCCTCAAATGTTTAGAATATTAACCTAATAGTGTTTTCTAAGATGAAAAGAGCCACACTATTAATTTAAAATTTTGATTGATATACACATTTTGAATTACAGGGTTTATGAAGTAAGCAGTGGACAATATATTAAAATTAAAATACAAATCAACCAGATATGCTGTCCCGAAAGACATCTACAAACACTTTTTAAGATGTGAATTTAAAAATACATTTTTTTAAAGAAATGTGGGGCAAATAATTTTTTTGTCTAGGTATACAAGTTATAGAAATAGTTCCATAATTTTCCAAGTGGATAGAGGTAACATCACAAGGATAAAATAGATTATTGTGTGTATGTCTATGTGTCTATGTATATTATAAACAATTATATATATATATATATATATGCACATATATGAAAAGAGAGATTTTAATTTTGGGTTCATCTACGTATGTGCTTGTGTGTAAATGTGTGTTTGTGTGTATGTGCATATCTATATAATTTACCCAGAAAAAATTATTGATAAATTACTTAGTACTTTGATTCTAACATAAATTTACATATCTGAACACAAATCAGAAGACCTAAATGTAGAATATAGAGTAGATAATTTATGTATAAAAAAGAAAGACAATATGGATTTTAAAATAAATCATCTCTATGCTTCCAAATATTGTATTATTTATACTCACACATGATGTATACACATATCTACATATATTATTGAACAAATTATGTTCAATCTTTAAAAACAAAACCATTTTCTCTGCTTCTTGACACTCTGCCCTTCAGAGTAATCTATTCTGAGATAATTTCAATGGGCAGATGTTCATATAAAATTGAGCTAAAGGAGAGAGATCTATAAAAAACCATATAGAAAATTTTCTTCTAAATATCAACAGTCTTGTAAGAATAGAAACATGAAAGGTCATTCAAATCCAGCTGAGCCAATAAAAATAACATTAAATTAAAAGCAAGGATCTAATACTAACCATCTAACCTCAGGTAAATTACCTTGATATCTCCACAGCTCAATTCCTCTTTCTTTAAATGCAGAGGTGAGAAAAAAACAAACAAACAAACAAAAAAAACCTCTGGTCTCTTTCATTTCCAACATTCCTGATAC